CAAACTATGATTTCGAGACTTTGAGAGATTTGGTTCCCGGAGGGAGGCTGTGAGAGATGAGGTTCCCAGAGTGAGGCTGCGAGAGACGACCTGAGCAGTGTTGGGGTTCCTTAAATCACGTTGTTAAAGATAAAACGAAGTCTATCTGCATACCTATGACACTGGATCCACACACTTTTCCAACAGTCTACTCTGTCTTTGCAGAATTCACTGCAAAGGGTGGGTGGGTCTTTGATGTTATACAGGCTGGTACTTCCAGAGAGAACAGCTGTGGCATCAAGGCTTCGGGCATACTCGAAGCTCTTCTGCCTGTGGGTTCCAGGTTCTCTCTGCTCAGCAGAACCTCTTGGGATCTCTGTACTCTGGAAAGCACACAAATCTGGGCACTGTCTCTTTAAATAGTAGAGGCTGAGTGCTCTCAGGCCACCATGACATATCCCAGCATTGGACCAGCCCCTGAATAAACTGGAAAGGCGCCTGGACCGAACTCAGTAACAGGGAGCAGCACCAGGGACCAGGGGAGCCTTGTTGGAAGCTCAGAGAGGGTCTGTCAGCTGCAGGTCCCTGTGCTACTCTGGATAGGGGTTGCCTTTGCATCCCTTGCACTGGACTGCAAAGAAATCCCTGTGGAGGAAGGGGTTACTCTTGCTGTTTTGCTTGGTGAGTTTTGTTGGCAAACTGGGCCTCTGGGTGGTGTGTGCTTACTATTTACAGAGAGTTGCCCAATCCCCAACCCCTGCAAACTGCAAACAGCCTGGGCTGCAGTGGAGATGGCATGTCTGTGTTGAAATGGTCTAAGGAGTCAGAGGATTCCAGATCCATTTTTTTAAAAACCCTTGGTTAAGAGCTGGGTATCTGTATACTCTGGCTGGGGAATTAAAAAGAGAGCTCTCTTCTGAGAGCTTCTAGAAACCCTGACACCTCCAGATTTGAAGGGATAAAGTGGTCCAGAAGTTGGTACTCAGAGCTCTTGGCACACAGGTGCTGTCTTCCTGGCAGACAGGATGGGGAAGCTCCCCTGTAGCGGAGCCCTGGCAAGAGCCCTGGGTGCAGCAGCACTGCTCCCAGCAGCCTTTTGTCCTCCACCATCGGGTGGCGGGTGGGGGCCAGAGGCGGGAAGCAGGGGTTAGTGAGGGTGTGGATGGTTCAGAGTCAAGCAGCTTACCATGAGGCGGTGACCTGAGTGGTCATGATCAAGGTTTGCGGTTCAAAAGACAGGAAGAAACGAGCTGTGCCTTATGATTTTTGCACTTTTCTGTATGTATGTCTACTTCATTAAAACATTCACTTGAAAAAAAAAAAAAAAGAGGAAGAAGGAAGAGAAGATTCTGAGTTAAATATACCAACATTTGTAAAGCACTTAGGACAGTACCTGGTACATAGTGATCATATAAATGTTGGCTAAATGAATAAGTAAATCTGAATGGCATAAGACAAGGCAAAAATTCCTTGGACAAATCTGACCTATAAAATGACCAGCGGAGGAGAGAAAGCACCTCATTTCTTCCGTGAGTCATTCTCCTTGTGCATATGCTTTCACCCTATGGTAGTGACATGCTGATATTTTCTATTTTAGTGCGGACAGGGTGCAGCCTGCCTTGGAGGGCTACTGTGAGGGTTAAATGTGATGATAACAATAATAATGGCTGCGTTTCACTGGACACCGGCACCTTTTTATGCTCCAGACACTGCGCTAACTGCTAACTTTGCACACGTTGTCTGCTTTGTCACCACGATCCTTTAAAGTAGGCATTGTTAGCCTCATTCACATTTGAGAAAACTGAAGCGCGGCGAACTTCAGAAACTTGCCCACATTCACAAGGCTGGTGAGCGGCACGGCCGGGTCTGTCTGAGTCCAGACGGTGCTTAACCCCTGTGCCATACTGCCTTTCACAAACCGCCGCGTGGAAAGTACCAAGTAATCTGCCCTGCATATAATGGGCATTTAATAAAATTTGTTCAAGTATTCATCTTTTTAATATAATCATTTAAGAGTTTTAAAAAGACTGAATTGTGTTTGAAGAATTTTATAGAGAACTTAATTTTTAGAGAGTAAGTATATGACAGTTAAAATGGCTGCTACTTTGAAATAGTAAAATGATATGGAATTACTGGAATCATTTAGACTGATCAGGTTTTACGACACACAGTACACTAGCAGGTGTAGGAGCGCGAAAGCCATCCGCATTTTAGAGGCAAAGACGATTAACACCCACATTCAGGCTCGTTGTTAATTTCTTCCAGGGCCGCCGGCCCTGGCATCTTAGCTAGGCGCACCAGCACCTCGCCAGGAAGGACTAGCCTCTCTCCCTGCAACGCTGGGCGGATCAGCTGATTTTCCTGACTGCTCTCCTCCACCTCAAATGGCCAACCCCTACCCTGTGGTCCGGGAGGCCAGCCACGCCTGGGAGTTATGTCAAGCTGCTGCCGGCAAACTTCGCCTGGGAGCATAGCCGGCTGTGGTATGGCTTCGCCCAGGCTGCGTGGAGCCAGATTCCAGGGTACGCTGTCTCGGAGTCGGCTGGACTCTCCCTCCTTCTTCCACCCCTGTCACCGAAGCAGGGTGACCGTCATCAGTCCCCAGCCATCCCCTGGCATGCACAATTCCTAGGTGCAGACACTGATAGCGCGAGCGGGCGTGGTGCAGATGCGCTCTGATAAGATGCCAGGGCAGGCCAGAGGCGCCAGGACCCCAGGAGAGAGGGACCCAAGACTTCCAGCGGCCCAGTGGCGCGGGTTGGAGGTTGCAGCTTCTAGCCCTTGAGAGCCTGCTTCCCTTAACCGGGAGTAGAGGAATCCATCCTCAGTCCCCCGCGTAGGCGCCGTCCGCGTTCTTGTGTCCCGAAACCCAGCGCCTGGGCACCTATGGGGGCGACAACTGGGGGGGGGAGGGCTTTTCCCACGTGGGCTGAGGAGGGGGACGGAGGGACCACTCTATTGGTCAGCACTTGGTTTCCGTGCCCTTGGCGGAGCTAGAGGAGGTGGGAGGTGAGAAGGTTCAGATGCCTTAGTTTTCAGTAAGAGTCGCCGCGGTTTTGCTGTGATCGACTTTTTCAGGGGGGGCATTTAAAACCAAGTAACTGTCTCCAGCCCTCCCTCCCTCCTTCCCTCTCTTCTCCCGGAGTCCCGCCCCCCCGCACCCGCCGATCCAGGGACACACCCTACTGCAATGACGCAAGCAGGGCGTCCTTCCCGTTAAAGGGGAAAGCCGGGAGCCTCCCCCTCGCCCCTCGCTTCGCGCGCGCGTAGCCAACAGCGCAGCTGTTTTTGGGGACGCCAGCAGCGAGCGAACGCACCCGAGTTTGTGCCTGAGGCCACTCTGCGGATCGGGGACTGCTATTCCTTTGGGCTGTAAGTGTTTTGGTAGGGGGAGTGGAGGAGAAACGTGGGCATCTTCCGTCGAGGGTGCCAGAAAGCACGAAGGGGCATGAGCTCTGGGCTGGCCAGGTCTGGAGCGTTCTGTCAGGAGCGCGAGGTCAGAGGTCTGTCTCCTATGTTGCTACAGCGAGGAGTGCGTTTGCGGTTTGTAGACCGTTCGGGGCGCGGGTGGTGGTGCTGGGGTGCTGGTGGTTTAGGGACCGAGGGCAGAGGCGGCGCATTTTTCGCCTCGCTAGTGAGCCGCCGGCTTGAGGGAGCATTGGCAAAGCAGTGCCTGAGGTGGACAACCTGGGTGGGGGGACTGGGCCCCTGTGGTCCCCCAGTTTCTAACCACCTGCCCAAGCGCCCTTCTCTTGCCCGACCCTGGCACTGGAAGTCATCGGATTTAAGTTAAACCCTCTGGGAGACATCAGAAAACCTGGCTTATTTCTTCTTGTACATTCCAGGCTTTCTTGGAATCTGTTTTTCTGTGGAGAGGAACGGAGGGGCATGGGATTGAGTACTTTTAAAACTGACTTATCGAAATGTTGTCTCCCTGATTCCCAGACTCTGAGCTAAAGTGATCCCCAAAGACGCAGCTGGTCTTTCTCAGCCTTACATAGCCTCTAATAGGTCACCCCGGCTTCAGTTCCCAAAGTCTGCAAAATTAGGGGCTAGGGCCACAGAGCTTCCGACAGAAGACTTCCTGCGGTTTCTGACCGGCTGTAATTCTCCTCAGACTCAACTCTTCACCCTCCGCCTCCCCTCCCCACTCGGCATCTGTTTCCCTTCGCCCAGCCCGGTCGGGATCGCTGCCGGGCTCTCCGTGCCTAGGGTGCAGCCGGGCCCGCGGGGAGAACGCGCAGTGCTGGCCGGGGAAGCGGAATGGCCCTTCCTCGGGCGCTGGCCGGAGACGCGCGAGCGGTGGGCGGGGAGCGCGGTGCCGGGCAGCCCTCGCGTAAGGTTCTGTCCTCTCCACACTCCCCTGGCTCTGCACCATCTCCCGGAGTCGGAGTCGCCAGGGTCTACGCCAGCTGAGCTGAGGCTAGGACTGCTCCCCTTGGCTGGCAGAACTGAGTGGAAATTTGGAGACTAACGGAATGTGGAGGGCGCTGGGGTCTGGGAAACCATTCTCCCAGCCGCGCTCTCCCCCACAGTGCGCCGTTGGGGTCCCCAAGCCAGCTTCTCCTCTCGCAGACATCCGGGTGCCTACCCAGTCACCCCTTCCCCACCCCATGGGGAAACTCGGCCCTTGAACCCAGTTTCGGAGAACGTGCGCACTCCTCCTGCTGCCCCCTTCCCAAGTCAGGCTGCCCACGAGAGGTGCCTGAGGCCTTTACTTGTCATTCTGGAAACTTCTCTACTCCTGGGGTGACTTAGACGTGCACCCACTGCTTGTTTTGTTGCAAATACAAAGATCTTCGGTCTCTGGCCGGTCGGGCCCAGCTGGCGGCGGGGCCGGTTCCTGCGGTCAGCTACTGCCCTCTCTTGGCGAGTGGGGGTGGGCAGGCAGGCGCCAGGCCCAGGCGTTCCGCTACGCAGGGACCCTCCCTCTGCGCGCTCATGTTGGCCGGCTGGGCCCGCGCAACTGTCCGCCAGCCTGTGCGCTCGGCTTCACAACCGGCTTCCCTTTTCTCTGGGCAGCAGATCCTCCGCTGAGCAGAACTCGCCGACAGAATGCTCCTCCTGTTGCTGGGCATCATCGTCCTCCACGTCGCGGTGCTGGTGCTGCTGTTTGTCTCCACGATCGTCAGCGTGAGTGCCGGGCGGCGGCGGGGTGGGCGGGGCACCCTGCACGGGGGCCCTGGTGAGGTTTGGCTGGCCTGAGCAACCATCCCTCCCACCGGGTCCTTGGCAGCGCTCCCCATGATTCAGGACTGCGTTGTTACTTGCCTGCAAAGTTGAGTCTCCAAAGTCCCAGGGCATTTTGCAGTTCCTGGCAAGCTGCCCCTTTTTAGTTGTTTTGAGAAACAAGAGCAGATTCAGGGTGGAAGGAAACAAGCTCTGGGCTAGGCTAGATTCGCAGGCCGGTGTGTTAACTGGGTGATCGCAGCACACCTCCAGGGCACTCCGACTTTATTGGCTAAAAGATTGTCGAGGAAAGAAGTAAAGAATTTATGAGTTTATTTTCTTGAAATGTCAAAAGCCAGAAGGGCGGCTTAGTTTATGAAACGCCTGGTTCGGAGCCCTGGTGGCGCAGTGGTTAAGAGCTCCGCTGCTAACCAAAAGTTGGCAGTTCATAATCCACCAACTGCTCCTTGGAAACCCTAAGGGGCAATTCTACTCTATCCTGTAAGGTCGCTATGAGTCGGTGTCGACTCGATGGGCAACAGGTTTGTTTTTTTTGTTTTTTTAAGACTTGAAACTGGAAAGTTAAATTTGGCTTTTTAGGAGGGAGTTCAGGGTCCCAGGCCTGTTCTGTGAGGTGGACACAGCACCTTGTTAATAAAGCCTCCACTAATAAAAAGAGGTCACCGTAGTAACTTTTGATAGAAAAGTTATCAAACATTCAGTTTTAAACTCACTTCTTGGTAATAGAGATGAGCACAGACTCAGACAGTGACACAGCGGTGGCTTTATGTCTTAACTTTAGGCCAGTCCCTGCATTATATTCTTGTCCATTTAAAAGACTGAGAAATAATTATGTCAGAGTGAGAAATAAATATGTTGGAGATTTATGAATTGGTTTTCATTTACAAGCCTCTGCACAGCATCTTAATTGTGCCTGATGATAATCGGTTCAGATTCATAGGCATTGTGAGTGAGAAAATGTGCTCCAGGAGGTGGTGCATTGGGGAATGAGTCCTCGGGATTGAGAGGAGAAGAGGCTTGGATGTAGGTGTCCCGAGTTGAGATCATAGCGCTTTCTGCTATAGCGCTTGCCTCTGCACACAAAACCAGGTGTGTGTAGCAGGTGCTTTTCCGTTTACAAAGTGTTGACTCTGACTGCAGCACCACGTTTGGGCCCGGCGGCTACCTTTCTTCTTTCTCTTATGTGACTGTGGACTTAACCAGGGAGTGTCTCTGTCCTTCCCCTCCTGGGCAGGGGCAGGCCAGGTGGACCTGTGCATGAGGCTGCCCTTTGCTTTCTTTAGTCTCCACCCCCCTTCCCCTCCCTGCTGACTGCTTCCCCTGATTCAGGATGTCTGATTCTTTCTAGCAATGGCTCGTGGGCCATGAATATGCGGCTGATCTCTGGCAGAACTGTACCGCTTCCACGGGCAACGTCCACCACTGTTTCTCGTCATCGGTAAACGGTGAGACTGGCTTTTTCCATCATGAGCTTGTCCTTATATGTCTGTAACATGTTCTTGGTGCAGACCCAGAAGCCCTTGTTCTTGGAAGACAACAGCTAGAAAGTTGTTGCTGGGGTGGAGTGGAATGCAGCAGGGGGCCACGAATCCAGGCATCGCTGTGGAAGCTAAGGGTGCCGTTGTGCATTCTCCCACCCAGAGAAATGCTCTGCGCACCTCCTGATCATTCAGTGTAATGTTTTTTGTGGGCAAAGAAATGTGGACAAGGCCAAGCAGTAAAGACGGCATGACAGCTAAACCTTAGGCAGACCTCACTGGAACTTTTGATCCAACCTCCCTCTTTGGTTGGTGGCTGTCTCTATTTTTAAAAAGTCCTTCCTCTTCCTGCTAAAGCCAAGTGGGATTGTCCTGAGGATGGCTGGGTTTACTTTTGGTCCTCCAGTTACAAGACTGCCTTTCCAGATCCTGGGCCTCAGTGGTGCTACTTAGCATGAAAGCTTTGAATCCCTCCTTGCTGCAAAATGGAGCCTTGAAGCTATTTGAAGCTCTAAACTGAGCCTGGGAACTCCTGGGTGGCGCAAGGTTGGAGGTTCAAGTCCACCCAGAGGTGTCTCAGAAGAAAGGCCTGGTGATCTACTTCTGAAAAACCAGCCATTGAAAACCCTATGGAGCACAGTTCTACTCTGACACACATGGGGCCACCATGAATAGACTCTCCAGCAACTGTTATGTTTGTAAACTTGATCTTGGGGTTCTTCATCCAGGAGACTGTATAGCTCCTCCGTCCTCAGCATCTTTGCTGTAAGGTACTGGAATGCAGGCTTAATTGGAGTCAACTTAAGGAAGAGCTGTGAGGACACCCACTATACCCCAAGCGCTCAGAGGTGTGGTGCTCACCGCGGGGGCTCGTGTCTTTGCACACGGAGAAGTGGAGCTAACTATGAGGTGTTCTTTTGGGAGCTGGGAGGTGCTTGTGTTGGCATGGGCCTGGAAGGGACCATAGTGAGTGATGTTGAGAACACAGTGGGCCTGTCTCAGTCTCTTCTGTTCCAAAGGATGTGTCCACAGCTGGGAGAGCAAAGTAGCTGTAGATGCAGTACAGCTTGACGTCCTGGGTCCAAAAGGCCACAAAGTACAGCTTTAAATGTTGTTGCAGCTGCTCAGACATCCAGTGTCTATGTGGAAGATGCTCCAGCTGGTGAGAGAAACCAGTTTAGCTCAGCTCACTACAGCGATGTCACCCTTAGAGTCAGGCCTTGCACAGTTCAGCCTCTGCTACGTTTTTCCTCCTGCAGGCTTTGCACCCAGCAGTACCCAAACTTGTCACTGAAACATTGCAAACCAAATATCTTAAACCTCAGTGTAAACAGAAACTGCTAAAACAGCCATTGGGCAGTTTATGTGGGGAGGATAGTCAAGGAATACTTTTTCCCCTTGAAAGAGTGGAGTAGAAAACCCTGCTTTATGTTTCCACCTTACAGAAAAAAGAGAGAGAGAGAGAGACCCTACTCCTATTGATGTCAGCAGTCTTGTCTTTTCTCTGAGTGTGTGGAGGATGTCGAGTTAAAACCATCCTCCAGGTTGCATATTGACTTTGTATGGTGAGTTGGCAACAAAGGAAATGAAATACTCATGAGTGCCTGAGATGTGACCCTCACGTTGCTTCTCCCCGAAGCCACAGCATCCGGTTTCTCCCTGGCGTGGTCTAGCTGAGGTTCCCTGGAGTCTCAGGATGGGAGGCTCTCTACTTGCCACTGCCACCTGGTGGTCACAAGTGGGGATGCAGCCCGAAACAGGCAGCCTTTCCTCAAGTCAGCTGGTGTCTACAGTCACTGTTCCCAAGTGGCATTTGGCCATGTGGACTGGCCAGAATCCTGAACTCTCAGGCCCAGAAGGCGGCAGCTTTGGCAGGCACACAGAAACACGGCTGTGGGCTGTGTTTCAGCAGAAGTGAGGCGACAAGGAACAGTTATCTAAATAGTGCTCAAAACTCCTGTTAGGAAGGAAAGCAATATTTGCCTCCTGGCCTGTTACTGGCCTGAATTTTGCATCTTCTGTGGTTGTGGATACCGTTATTCTGCCCAAGAAGCAGATCTCAAAGAGGCATTAAACTCCCACCCCCAACCTCCTACCCCCCACCCTCCCCTACACAAAAACATCAGCTGTTCTGGAGTCAGCTCTGATTCATGGAGACTCCATGTGTGCCAGAGTAGAAATGCGCTCCATAGGGTTTTCAATGGCTGATTTTTTTGGGAGTAGATCACCAGGCCTTTCTTCTAAGGTTCCTCTGGGTAGACTTGAACTGCCAGCCTTTGGGTTAGCAGCTGAGCCCATTAACCATTGCACCACCCATGAACTCCAAAGAGGCACTTAAAATAAAAACCCAAAACAACCACAAATGAATGCATTGCGGTGGAGTCAATTCTGACTTATGGTGACCCCACGTATTACAGAGTAAACTGTGCTCCGTAGGGTTTTCTTGGCTGTAATCTTTATGGGAGCACTTCTCCAGGTCTGTTCTCAGCAGAGTTGCTGGCTGGCTCAAACCACCGCCCTTTAGGTTAGCAGATACTCGCAAACCACTTGTTTCACCAGAGAGCGTAAAGAGATCCTTGTGTGCTGTCGAGTTGGTTCCGACTCATAGTACCCTGTAGCACAGAGTAGAACTGCCCCGTAGGGTTTCCTAGGCTGTAATCTTTACGGGGGCAGATTGCCACATCTTTTCTGCAACATTGCTGCTGGTGGGTTCCAACTGCTGACCTTTTGGTTAGCAGCCGAGTGCTAAGCCGTTGCGCCACCAGGGCTCCTTGGGCTGCAATGGACTTGACAGCACTTAACAGTGACAGATATCATTTTAATTAGAAAACTTATCACTCAGCTTGCTCCTCGCGCACCCTGCCCTCTCGAGTTCATGTACAGTGACTTCGAGGGCCTTTAGAGTGGGTTCCGAACCCTGCTGGTTGTTTCTGTGCAGATCCCAGAGCGTCCACACTCCTCCGCATCTGTCCTCAACTTTCACAGTAAGGGCATTTTGAGGAAATCTGGACATGCTCTTAAACATGCTGGGCTGGTTTTGACTTAGGCTTGTCATAAATTAGAAGTTTCCACTTAAGCCTCCCAGTAGCAGTTCCCATCTCTGCTGGCATCTTCCTGAGAGGTCAGTGTGTGCGTCAGCTAACTTCACTCTGAAGTACCGGGTCTTGTGTGAGTCCTTTGTTTGGCTTGGGTTTAGCAATTGCTGTGATAAAACAGTAAGGTGGAAAAATATATTAACAGAGACAATGCCTTTCCGTATGAACTCTACTAGTTACAACCGTTTGCCTTGTTTGTATTTGCTCTCAGAAGTTTGAAACATACTTTTAAGGAATCAGAAGTAATTCATTGTTGATACTGATTGGTGAAGAGCGTGTTGCAGGTGTGTTATGTGAAAGATAAGTTGGTTTACATCACTTGCCGTTTTTTCTGAAGGGACTAGTTTTCACGTGTGGGCCATGGTACCATTGGGGTGTTCTCTGTAGAAATGGTGGCCCCTGGCGTTGTGCGGGGCGACAGCAAGTCTAAGAACCTCAAGTGTCTGTTACATAGTTTGAAGGAGATGTATTAGCTCTTTCTCCAAGCTCTCTCTTGATGCAGAAGTATCTTTAGATTTCTTACTAGCTTCCCTCAGCTCTGCCTGCCTTCTCATTTTCTCACCTCGTTTCTGGTCCCCTCCCTGTTTTGGCTGTGGACTGACGTGAAGGCGTCTTGACGGGGGCACATTCATCGTGACCTTTTATCAAATGCCTCTTGGACCCTGGGAATACAAGGACCTGCAAACCGTGGCCCTGGCCCTGGATGGTCCTGAGTCTTGTTGGGGAGTCAGGGGATCAGTGTGGAGGGGTGAATCATTGTGCAGCAGCGAGGCCAGGTGCCTGAGGAGGGGCGGGCAGATAGCCAGTGTACCACAGCCTGGGGAGGAAGTGGAATGAAGTTTTGTGTGGGAGGTGAATTTGATCCATCCTCCAGCGGATGGGCAGGATTTAAAGAAATACAGGCAAGGGGGAGGATACTCCCCGTCAAGGCAGGGATGTGGCCTAAAGCAAAAGGAAAGCACAGGGACAGTAGACAGTCGACTGTGTTCGGTCAGGATCAGGATAATGGCACTAGCTTAAATAAGGTGGTTTAATTCTCCCTTGTTTAAAAGAAGCCTGGAAGAAGGCAGCTGACAGAGACCTGTCGCCTTCTAGCTCTTTTTATTTTTTTTCGCCATCTCTTGGGGTTGGCCGTTATCCTCATGGACCAGCGGGGCTTTTAGAGCTCAGCCATCTCACCCACATCCCAAGCAGTAAGGTGGAAAAGCTGGAGGGGAAGAATGTGTCCCCCTCTCTTTTAATGAGACTTCCCTGGTGGACATGATACTTCTGCTTCGTCTTTCATCTGGAGCTTAGTCACACGGCCTCACCTAGTTCCAAGGAGGCCAGAAATGTGGTTCTTTGACCTCATAGAAAGCATGCTTCCCCTCCCCACAAGATGTACTCTTTCACGGCAGCCCTGCCCAGTCCTGTGCACTTTTGGAGCAGGGCCCAGCCATCCTGAGACTCCAGCAGCACCACTGTCCTTACGGTGACTCACAGCAGAAACTGCAGAGTCTTCCTGCACGTCTCTTCCTCTGCCTCTTCCCCTCCTGGTTCAAACCAAACCAAACCTGTCACCATCGAGTCGATTCCGACTTGTAGCGACCCTTTAGGACAGAGTAGGACTGCCCCATAGGGTTTCCAAGGAGCCCCTGGTAGATTCAAGCTGCCAACCTTTTGGTGAGCAGCAAACATGACCGCCCACCCCCACCCTGAGTCATGGCAATCTCGTGGGTGCAGAGTAGAGCTGCTCCATAGGGTTTTCAAGGCTGTGACCTTTTGGAAGCAGATTGCCAGGCCTTTCTTCCGTGGCACTGCTGGGTAGGTTCAAACCGCCAACCTTTAGGTTAGTAGCTGAGCACAAACCATTTGCACCACTCAGGGACCTTT